CAAGTGTGCCCGCATCCTCACTTGCACAAACACCAAGTGAGCACATGCACACACACTCCCTTTGCGTGAGTGGCAGTCCCAGGTGCTCACCCCTTGCACAAATGGAGCTGTATGCATGCGCTTGCCATCCGCTCGCACGGAACCATCTCCTCCCCTCCATCCCACCGGTACGCAAAGTAGGAAAATAGCTGTGCCTTAAACCATAAACAAGAACTTTGAACTGGTTGGATTCATCTTTTATCTAGAAATGGGTAAAGGAAGTTTGAGCCTTCTGCATGAACTCTTGAGTCATTAGTTTATAACCTGCTTGGGATTTCCCCTGTGTTAATGTTACACAGGTCTTCGCAAAATAAGGTTAAATTTATGTTTTCTATTACATCCGTGATTTTACTTCTGTAGAGTATTATTTTTTGTTGAAACAGTTCTGGGGTGGGAAATGAGATTTTTTTATTTTTACTCATATGAACATTTTTAGAAAATGGTTTATAGTGAAGATTCTAATTGAGGTACAAGGAAAAAAAAAGTAACTTCTGCCAAACATCATCTTGGAGTTTAGCAAGCGTTAAGCACAAAGTGTCCATAGCCCATTTGTCAATCCAGCTATTATGTAGCACATTCATATTTGCTAAGAATTCTGTCTATGAAGTCCAACCGGATTCTTTGGAAGAGGCCCAGGATAAACTAATTCAGGAGCCCCCTCCCCTGGTGTCTGAAAGTGTCCTCAGATATCAAATTTATATCAATCACAGGAAGTCTTGGCAGTCAAACCAGTCACTTTTTCCCCTCACATCTGGAAGTAAATTTTTTTCTGCTTGAAAGGTCACAGGCATCATGGGTAGGGCACGGATTGAGGGCCATAGAAAACATGGGAAAGGAAGAATAAAACTAGATTTCCACCTTTTTAGAAACAGTTATTTTTAAATGGCCTGGAACGCAGCCAAACTACACAGCCCTCTTTCTCTCTTACTCCCTCCGTCTCCCTTCCCAGTTTACATTTGTTGCTGAATGAAATGTGACTGCAAGATTTTTTGTGTGTGTGCGCTCGGATCTCTGCTTGGAATTTACGAGTACTTTTGTTTGCTGCGAACAATATTTTTACAACAGGATGAATTCAGAAATACATTGTGTCCCAGGCTGTTTGTAATTTAGGGTTTTGTGCTGTTTTTCAACTTTCACAATCTTTAAGTACCTCGCAGATTGTATTACTCAGGGAACTTTTCTTCTAAAGTGACTGATGGGGGGGGCGTGCATGCGTGTGTGGTGTTAATGGATGCTTGTGGCTTTTCTTTCCTGCATGACTTGAAATCTTAAGCATTTAACTTAAAGAAATGGAGGAAACACTCCATCTTCCAGTCTTTCCTCCATCCCTTCAAACAAGAGCTTGGGGAAAGGTTGTAAAAACAGAACCTTTTGCATTTGATCTACAGGTATTTCTTACATTAGACAAGGGAAGTTGTGTGCTGAAAGCTACAAAATCTCTGAAGCCTGTCTTGAAAACCAGTTCCATATGAATGAGAATCAAAATTGGCATGAGGTTAATATGTGCCTGTAGAAAAAAATATGTGCCCTTTAGAACATTAGGATGAAGGGGTGTGTGTTTTGATGGTCCAGTTTTAGTGGTGAATAAGTGCTGTTCTAATTGTTATTATGTAAATCTGATTTATTTTGATATAATCTGAGATATGTAATAGTTTTCATTTATAGACTGACAATTATATCAAAATAAAGCAGTTTTGGATTATATATTGGCCAACTATAACAAAAAAAATTACTTTAGTCTTTGACTCTAAAAACTTTCTACTATTAAAACAAAAATATTTTGGAGGTTTTTTTTTAGGGGTGGAGTGTTAAAGCAGTGTCAGTCCCAACTGTCCAAATTTTATAAGATCACATTATGAACAATGAACAACTCTGCCTGAAAAATCAGTTCTAGGTATTTAATTATTTATTATCAAATTTATAGCCATCTCATAACTCCAAGCAGCTTACAAACAGAGACAAATATAAAAATAGTAAACAAAAATGCAACAATTTAAAAACAAGGGAGGGAATGTAAAAAGTGTATTGTAAATACAAAAAATATATAACATTCACAATAGAGGTAAAAGTTTTCCATCCATCAAAACATACAGGGCAGTCAACTGCACCAGTTCTACCACAATTGTTGTTCTCCATGGCTGTTGGCATAACTGTAGTTTTAAGGCCTTGAAAAAGGCCAACAGGGTCAGGGCCAATCTGATTACTAGACGATGTTTCTACCAGATGGATGCCACAGCAGAAAAGGCTCTCCTCTTGGAGCCTGCCAAATGACACTTCCTGCCTGACAGGACCTATAGGATACCTCTCCTGTCAAACTTGTTTAAATAAATAAATTCATACTCAGTTTCCCCAAAAATAAGCCCTCCCCGGATAATAAGCCCAATCAGGCTTTTGAGCGCATTTGCTAAAATAAGCCCTTCCCTGAAAATAAGCCCTCCCTGAAACTATTGCAACACAGCAGTAGCCATGAGGTGACCATGCTTGCCACCTCCTGCACCTCAAAAAATAAGACCTCCCCGAAAATAAGGCCAAGTGCTTATTTCATGGGTGAAAACAAAATAAGACCCTGTCTTATTTCTGGGGAAACACTATTACTTCATTAGTTTTACAAGGTATGGGCAAAAATAATAATAATAGATCATACTTCTGAACATTTCTGTCACATCAGGCAGTATCTTTAGCTCCCTCCCAAGAGGAACCCTGGTCATAGCTTTCTTAGCTCATTTTAAGATGAGTGATGTAGGCGATTCATCAGAGGATAGTTTGAGTATGTATGGTTCATATTCAGAAGCTATTGACTGACTATTAATATAAAGTTGTGGCAGCTCCACAATGATTACATTTTTTTTCCTATTCTGCCAGGAAATAGACAGTATTTGATTAAATGTTATAATTTTTCTAGAGGTGTTTAAGTGTACAACAGGCAATGATTCATGGCTATAAAGGCATGCTGGTTTGTAAAGTAGGTCCAATGGATGCACGATTAAATTTATTACTGACTAACAGCCACTCTTAGTTTCTCTAGAAAGGGAACCCAGCCAGCAGTTTAACTAAGCATTTAATCTCCAGGAACCCCCCTATATCATATATCATCATATATTGTTTACTCTTTAGATTCATATTCCAGAGTTGCTATTGGTGCATCAGTTGTAATTGATAAAACTTCTGCTATTGGCAATAGCAAGCAGCTAGGATTAGTAGGCCTGACTGTAGAAAAATACTTTTCTGTAAACCTGCCTGTTCAAGAAAGTATTATTTTGCCCCAAATATACACTTTTTAAAAATAATTTCCTCTACTTTGATCGAGTTCAACTTCTGTTGTCTTTCATTAATGAATGCGTGTAAGAACTTGAAGAGCCAGCGTTTCGCTCACCTATACTTCACCAATTTCCCAAAACAATTTAACAGAAATTGGGCAATGATTTGTGAAAGCAAGAGTATCAGTAATGTATGTATTCACTCAAGTCTGTAAAATCAGTTTAGCCCAAGGCAATCTATGACCCAGTATCTAACCTAATTGAAAGAAAGCTATCTTCTGCTGCCTAAATGATAGATGGAGGATTGGAAGATCAGGAGCTGGCCTGTGGTTATCAAGATCATCTACACACATATGAAAATATTGTTTTCTTCAAAAGTGTAACTTTATTTTTTGAAAACAGATGAATAGTCCCAATATTCAGATGCAGTTACTTGAAAAAATAGCAAGAACTAAAGAGAACATATGCGATCACCCATATCCATATCTATCCATAAATATAATCTCTGTGTAAAGTATGATGCAAACACTGTATTATACATCCGTTATTTCATTTACCAAGAAATAAGTAGGAATCTCTTAGGTTGGATGGCAGTAACTAGGAAATTATCTTGTTTGTTTTATCACCAGATAATTTAGAAAATCTTGTCCATCACAGGTTTTTTTTTTATTCTTAGAATTAGGACACTGAGTACATGATTGTTTGAATGTAAGTTTTTTAAAAAAATGTTTCCAATGTCAGGATGATTTAAGAGCATATACTGTATCAGTAAAATTTCAATAAGAAGAATATAAATATCTGTTCCTAGCCCTACCTAGAGCAGCAATTTATATCGTATTTCAGATCTACCGGCTTCAATGTCAGCCTTATTTTGAAATTCTTGTGAAATGGTTGTGAGTCAATCATACTGTTAGCTTCCAATCTATTTAGCTGTTATATTATATGGAGATTAATTTGTTTTCCTATGCATGTTTGGAAAAAAAAGTTCAAAGTATGTTAATTAGACAAATTTTCCCTATAGGGATCTTCAGAAAAATAGAAAGAAGAAGCCATTTTTATGTGGCCTTTCATATAGATACAAAAATTCTTATAGGCAAGCTATTGAGTACAAAGATGATTAACAGTTCTTCTGTAAGGGAGTGGTTCTTTGGATTTTGCCATACTGTTCTACCTTGCCCAGGCTATATTCATACTATTACGATGCTCTACTCTTCTCTTCCCCCCCCCCCCCCGCTTTCTGTAACTGGACAAGAATCTGCTAAGAAAAGATACAAGTCTTCTTTTTCACAATGCAGTGGTTTTAAAAGAACACACCTCACCTGATTCCACTCCAGATAGGGGGTAGTTTTATGGGGGTTGTGATAGAAGGCAAGTAGCTGTGCCTTGAGCTGCTACTGCCTTCTTCAACAGATCAGTTTCTCTTAATTTTAACCAAAAGCCATTTTCAACTGGGCTGTTTCCAAGTCTCATGTAACCCCTTATCTCTGATCTATATTCCGGAAGGTTAATGGGATAGTAAAACCTTCTTAAAGATAGATAAATGTGTTCCAGTTTCCTCAGGGTAGTTCTCTACTAAAGACGTTTTCTTTCCCACCCTGCCGAGGTATCTCATTAAGCTCCCCACTAGTGTCATTATTAAGTTTTCATGTGTTTCACTGCTTTGATGCTAATCTTTGTGCTTGCATTTAATTCTGTTCTGTACAGCACCAATGTGGTTATGAATTATTCTGAAATTGAGTCTAAGGTTCGAGAAGCAACCAACGATGATCCGTGGGGACCTTCAGGGCAACTCATGGGGGAGATTGCCAAGTAAGTAATTTGATTCAGCTCTGTTGAAAGATACATCTTTAAGTATATATGCCACTGCTGCTTCATCGCCCCTGAAGGATATAAATAAATTAGGGAGAGAACTATATTAATGATGGAAAAGAACGATCACAAGCAACTACTTTTAAATACAGGTTGTCCTCGGTTAGTGACTATTTGCCATTGCAGTGCTTATGAAAAAGTAATTTTGCAACCGGTCCTCACATTTAAGCCCTTTGCAAGACTGTAAAGCACGTGAAGATTATAATAGCATGTTCCCCTTTCACTTAGTGACTATTTTGTTTTAAATTGCCACTCCCAATTGTAGTAACTAAACGAGAACTACCTGTGTTCCTTTTATTAAGTAACACATAATGTTTCTTTTGGATAAGAATCTTGTAATGCATTTTTCAAATATAAATAGTGGGGCTCCTTCACAACCATGTTTTCCCACAAAGAGCACCTGAATGTCATTTTGGACTAAAATAACAAAGCTGTCCTTATTTTTATTTTTCCATGATTGCTAATGGAAAGACATCAGCATTGCTAACTCTGCATATGAAATACTTCTATATGTAAATGGTCCACAGCTCTTAATTGCTGATGGAGGTTTTTAACTCAGAACAAGTCTGCCACCTGCTGTCAAATACAAGTGCTGACATACAGTAACACCATTGATCATTCTCTTTCTCCCTCTTCCTTGTTCTTCCTCATTTTCATCTTTTTCTTTTCTAGGGCTACTTTTATGTATGAACAGTTTCCAGAACTTATGAACATGCTTTGGACACGGATGTTAAAAGACAATAAAAAGAACTGGAGAAGAGTTTATAAGGTATGTACAGTAGTGACTTTTTGTATTCACTTATTAAAACCTTAATTTTGGTGTAAACTTTGAATGCTGAAAAACACATCTGAATGTTTTAATTTAACCACAGTGTCCTCTGGCAATTAACTCAGTTTTGTGCGTTCATTATCATAATATCCATGCTAAACTTCACAGGTTTCCAGATCCTCTGTGTGCAATTAGTAGAACTTGATTTTAATCAAGTTAATTCTTTTTCAGTATACATTTTTAAGAAATGGTCTGCTTTGAAAACCAAGGGATTTTTTAGGGAGGGGGGAGCGGGCTGTTGTTGTTTTTATAAAAAGGCTCCTAAATTGAATTCCTTCTAGCAATTTTGACTTTTATTGCTTAATAAAAACCAAATAAGGGATCCTCTGTAACTTGATTTTCTTAATCCCTCCTAGCAGTCCACTGTTGAGAGACCCAATTTTAAATATTTGTTCTGAATGAAACTATTAAAGGAACTTTCTACATTTATTTCTGATACATTTTATATATTCTGTTTTCTCCCTCTCAATGCACAGGATTATTTATCACATTTTATATTTTTTTATTTTGTCTTACTGGGCATAGAACCAATTGTTTATCACTTGTTTTACTCCCATTATTGGCCCAGTTCAGTTTTATTTCTTCTACACTGTTCTTCCACTATACTTTCAGTGAAATTCAAGTATGTGTAATGCCATATTTCCAAAGTATCTTGCAGTACTAAAGGGCTTTAAATTAAAATCTATACAGTCCAGACAATTCTGAAAATGTTAACTTTTTAAAAATAGGAAGTTTATGCCCGTTTTGTATTTTGATTACTTGCTGTAAAGACATACATACATACATACACACACACACAGATACACACACACATATATATGCATACATACATACACACACACACAGATACACACACACATATATATGCATACATACATACACACACACACAGATACACACACACATATATGTTTTAATGCTATTTAATGTATTTTGTTCAATATTGTTAAGGCTATATAGAATGATCTGTTTACTTTCAGTTACAATTTATAGACACGTTTCTGCTGATGGTGAATGACTTCTATGCATGTGGGGGTGTTCCATTTTGTTTCCCTGGGTTTAGTTTTTCAAAAAGAGGCAAATTCTGGAAGCTGTAGGAAGTTTAAAGAATTAACATACTTTAAAAACTTATTTTTGTTTTGAAGTTTGCTTACATTTATCTGAAAATACTGAATTTTATACATCAACACATTTCCTGCAGGAAACGGCGTAGAAAAATTGCTGTAAAATTGCTTTTAAATGGAAAAACACTGGGGAATAAAGTAATTGCAAAAAAGAGACACAAAAGAAAATTGTTTCAGTCTTTAAAGTTCAGAACGTTTTTCCCCAAATTGCCTTAACTGCAATTTTTCTCTTCCTAGAAAAAAAAAATCATCTTCAGGCAAATATCGTATGAATTAATGTTCTCCATTTATTCTTTTGTCTTAGTGCAAAACACAGATTTACATCTACAGAGTATTGCTCGTAGTTCTGTAACATTTTTAAGTTGGCTCATTTTTACCAGAATGAATCCTACTTTTCTTTCTAATTTATTGCACGTTTAAGCTTTCCTTTTCATTGCAGTTTAAAATACTGATGGCATTTTTCATGCAGTCATAAGGTGCTTTGTATTTTTATAGTCTCTGCTGCTGCTATCTTACCTCATAAGGAATGGATCAGAGCGTGTTGTTACAAGTGCCAGAGAACACATTTATGATTTGCGATCCCTGGAAAATTACCACTTTGTAGGTGAGCGATAGAAGAATCTTATAAGCAAATTAAAGCAGTTGTTGGAGTTGTCAGTCACCTGAACCAGCTTAGAAGCTTCCCTGCTCTAATTAGAATGTGACTGTTGCCGGTTGTGTGAAGAGTGCAGAATCCAAGACGTGGGGCCCTAGAGTATTAATTAGTGAAGACAAGAACTTGCAGAAAAGACTGGCTAATAACAACAGAACCAACACAACATGAGTGTTTGGGTTTATATTAAAATATGCACTAGAGACTTGTTCCCTGTGGTGTATATAAAGGAATAGCTTTAATCATCTGGGAAGAAAGGTTAGAGCTCCAAAACATACACATCTGTTTGAAGCTAGGGATTTTTTCCCCTCCTACCAAATAATATTTACAGTGCTCAGGCAGCAAGGCCAGTTTTTTTTCTGAATAAAAAAGAGCCTTTGAGAGGTGGAGCAAATTTTAGTGTGTAGTGCGGTTCAGCTGATAAGATTGTAAAAATAAAGATTTGAAGCAAGATAGAAAGCTAGCAATTAGCATTTTAAAAAAACCTGACTCATTTTTCCCCTTTTCAAATACCCCACCCCTTCCTAAAGACTTGAACAGCAAGGTTGTTTTAAGTGGGTTAAAACTGACAGGAAATGTGTTTTTAAGCATCATATTTTTCACTTTCTTTTAAAGAGAGCTTTTAAGTAGATCAATGTGGGTTAGAAAACTGTAGAAACTAAAAATGTGCTCTAATGCTGTCACTTTAGGTTAAGATGAAATATTGGCTATAAAAAGTATAACTTATATTCAATAAATAAAATTGCTTTAGAAAACATAACCTTAGCAGTTCTCATTTTATATAGAGATTTCTCCAAATGCTTCAGGTTAAAGACAATTTCTTTTTGTATGCGCCTTTTTTCAGATGAGAATGGCAAGGACCAAGGTATAAATATACGCCAGAAAGTGAAAGAAATGGTAGAATTTGCCCAAGATGATGACAGACTTCGTGAAGAAAGGAAAAAAGCAAAGAAAAACAAAGATAAATACGTTGGGGTTTCTTCAGACAGTGTTGGAGGATTCAGATACAGTAAGTTCAGCTGGAGAGGACAGGTTTAGTGACATAGACTGGTATTGTGAACCCTNCCGTCAGGCCTGGGGACAAAGATAACTGCCCCCACCCGAATGATGAATGAATGTTGCTTATTATTTTACTTTATGTTTTGTATGTGTTATTGTTTGTATACCCCTTCCCCTCATTTTATCTAAGCCACCCTGAGTCCCCTCAGGGAAAAGGGCGGCCTATAAGTGTTAATAAAACCTACAAAACCTACAAACCTACAACAGAACATATTGTAGAATTTCTAGCTATAACATTGTAATGGTTCAAAAGAAGTGTCAGTTGTTTCCTGTGTGAAGAGTTTGAAGAGGGAATTGCTCAATTACAAAATATTAGTCCTTTAGTTAGGTAAATTTTTATCTAATTTAAAAAGATTTCAAAAAATAATTGGAGGGATTTTTCTGAGTTTCTGGTCTTGGCATAAACTAATTATCAGGTCCAGAATCTAAAGAGTTGGGAAGAACTTCAGAGTCATGTAAACCAATCACTTGCCCAATGTAGGATTCACCAAATTGTTTCTGAATGATGTCTATAAAACCTTGTAGTTTTATCCCACTGGTTCCAGTTCTCCTCTCTGAGCAATAAAGAATAAGTCAAATTCTTCTATGGTGAAAAAAAGTCAATTCCCTTTTAGGATATTATCATATTGCTACTTGGACATCTATTCTACAGGCTAAACATATTCAAGTCTTTTAACTGCTTCTCGTAGAATTTGGTTTCCAGACCCCTTACTACCCCGGTAAGCCTCCCCTAAATTAAATTGTCAGTGTGCTTTGTGATCTCATACTGTGCAAACTTTGTAGGTTATTCCTGTGTCAAATGCTAGACCATTAAAGCAACGAATCTCACAACTCTATTTTTTTTCAATGTTTCCAGCCTTTGCAAAGTGTTAATCCAATGATACAGAAGCCTAATCCGCTATATAATCTGGGCACAGAGATGGTCCCCAAAAATGTAAGCAAAACTCTGCCTTCAACATGGTCCGATCCCAGTGTAAATATCAGTTTGGACAATTTAGGTCCTGGTATGCAGCCTTCAAAACCCCAGCAACCGTCACTGAACACAATGATTCAGCAACAGAGTAAGCAACCATTTTCTTCGATCTGTTCATGCATGTTTTCTAAAACGGGTCCCTCTGAACGAGTTTGGGTAGGATTAAAATTATCTTCATTTTGAAAACATTTCACATCACTTCAGTTTCAGTGCTTCTAGTCTTTTGTTCTCAATAGAGTTCATGTTACATTTCAAATCAATGTAGGGCTTTGCCAATTCAATAGTAAATTATGATTTTGCACCCGTAAGATACCAAATAAATTTGGTAATAAAGGGAAAAAATTCTGATTCTTCTTGGCTGGCAAACTGCTTCCAGTAAAAATAGATAGTATTGAGATGAATTGAATAAGGGCCTGATGATCTTTTAATAGCGATGCAAAAAGAATTTGGATTGAGGAATGTTGGAAAGGAGAATGAAATGTATTCAGGAACTACCAACTAGAACTAATTGGTCCCACACTCCTATATTCTGTTGTACAATATGAATTAGTAGGACTCAACAGTTAACAGGGTTGGTTGATTTGTGTTGGCTTCAACCTGTCTTTAAATGTTGGAAATGTACATCACGAATGGCATTTCCAAATAACAGAAAGTGATAAAGTTATTTCTCTGCTTTGGAACTGAAACTTTTGTAATCCACCAGTATGTATTGTGGTTTGCCAGTAGGCAGCGGGCAAGCACAATTGTAAGTAATGAGATGATGTCAGCTTGAAAACTCCCAAAGTATAGTCATATTTAATCTAGTGGTACATCATACCCATTTACTTCTTTTGTCAACCTCTTTTCCCAAACACTTGGGAAATCCCAAATCCATCCGTCCAGGCAACAATTGCTCTTCTCCTAATTATAATGTCATCCAATCAGAGATAAGGGAAATTCAAGCAGAAAAGGAAATGTGGCGTTTTTTCCCCTCCCAATGAGGTTAGGAATGTGCTATAGGTGTATAGATCATTCAACATCAAAATATGTTGATAGGGATTTTGATAAGGGAATAGAAAGAGAAGCTGAAATTTGGATGCAACAAGTAGAAGTTAATATTATATAATAATATTAGATATTAGAAAGATATGGAGCGATGCTCTAAAGTTTGTGACTTGAATTTTAATTTATTTGAAGCTTTGAATTGAATACATCTCCAGGGAAAAGAGAGAGAAAAGATTTGCCTTAAATATGTAAGACAGCAAACATTTAAAATGCTTTATACTTAAAACATATTTTTCTTCCAGATATGCAACAACCTATGAATGTGATGAGTCAGAATTTTGCAACTTTGGGCCTCAACTCACCCCCCAGCATGATGCCTCTTCGACCTCCAGCAAACCCATTGATGGGCAGCCCTGTTCCCGTGGGGATGGGAATGCCTACCGCAATGACTAGCACAATGGGCATGGCTTCCATGGGAGGCCCTAACCCTATGATGAACCAGGGCATGATGGGAATGAATGTGAACATGGCAATGCCAACTTCTGGAATGGGTTTGTCGGGTACAATAGGCATGGGCGTTTCTAATATAGCTGTGGCAACCTCTATGACTCCTGGAACTGTGCAACCTAAGCAAGATGCCTTTGCCAATTTTGCCAATTTTAGCAAATAAAGATTATTAACCAATCAGATCGAATGAAGGATTTTAGCTGCACAAATAAAGCTGGGATAAGGGTGGAAAATGCTGATCAAATGCTTTTTTTCCTTCTTTTTATTGCTTATTTTAAAGGAATCCACATATGACTCCAAAGGTGTTTTTTTTTTTAAACTCTAAAACTACTTTTGTTCAAGTTTTGGAATTGAATGTTCTTCCAGTGAATTGACACTGCATTGTCTAGGCCATGTTTTATAATGGGACAATTCAAAGCTTTTCTGGTAGCAGCAACAGTTTTAACTTTGAAACTTATGGGAAGAATGGAATTTGGGGGTAAATACGTGTGAAACTAATTTTATACTTGATTTCTTTTTTTCCCCATTGGAATCTGTTTTATCTTAATTGGATCCATTCCTTTTCCTACCACTGAGTCAAATTTGAAGTCAAAGTATGCTGATCAATTTTTTATAAGAAAATATATATATATATTTTTGTCCAAAATGGCTTACATATGTGATTATGGCTAATTCAAAGAGACCTGGAATGTATATATACTTTTGCTACTCTTCCAGCAACACTGCTGTACTATCCAAATTTTTATTATAGACCTCTTCGAGAAATTTGCCTACGAATAAAGCTGGGGGCAGGGAGAGATGTTCCTGCCAGGTTCTGCTCTATAATATTCAGCAACAGGACTGGTGGAAATATTCTCCAGAACTGCTACATGGTTTCCTTTTGGAGAACTCTTATGTATAATTTGGAATTCTTTTTAAATTGTTTTCTGCAGTTCTGCATCAGCGGCCAGTGGCATATTCCCTAGCATTCTCTGGGGTTATTGTTTACATCACTGATAGACTAAAGGCAGCAATGTTTATTCATTCTTTCTTGCAACTTTACAAAAAAACAACAGGATGACTGTCTTTTAAGTTCATGGTAATCATCTTCAAACATTTTGTCAAGCCAATAGCATTAAATTTTAGATTTTATACAATTGTTGGCTTTGTTTTATGTAAATATGGCCTTAGCAATTGCAGAATCCAATAGAGAGGAGTTAAATATATATAAATAAATATATATATATATTATTATTATTATTAAAGGAAACCTGTAGCAGTCAGATTTTATGAATCAAATGAAAATAAAAGAAGTGAATGAATGAATGAAAGATTTTTTTCCTTTACCTGTTTAAAAGAAAGCCTCCATTTAGGATCACCCACATATCATGATTTTTGATCTGGCATGCAGAAGTTCAATTTATGTTTGCAAAGTCAGGGCTGCTACTGAAATAAGTACTATATTCTAGGTATTAAAACTTCATTGCTTCCCCCTTCTGTTGGTTACTTTATTTTTTTATTGTTCCTATTAAATTGATTAAAATTTATTTCCATTGTACTCATAATGTTCTGTTATGCATAACATTAAAGTGTTCATTAAAAGCACTGTTGGGGCTGTTCTTCCTTTCATTCCATTTGATGTTTATGAGAGCAGTTGGGGGGAATAAGGATCATTTGGGTAAAGTAATTTTTATAAATAATTTAAAAATGTTTAATGACTTCTTATCACCCACCTTTTCTATCCGACTCTACTGTTAAAAATTAAAAATGAAGCAGCCAAGATATCTTGACCCACTCCAGCCTTGCTAATGCTCCATCTACAACATTTCTAATTAGGCAGAAATTCATGTACTTCAGCTAAGTGGTAATGAAAAGTGATTCATTTGCTGAATAAGAGATGAGAGTGAGTGTAATTAGCTGACTGCGGTTTTTAATCTTTCAACAATTCAGTGTGTTTAAATTAGTTTCATAAAATAGGAGCTTTCAAGTGTTGTTACATCAAAGTAATCAAGACAAGCTTTACTGGCTGAGCAGGACAGATCTTCAGTTCCAATTTCAAAATCCTTGAACTTTTTTGTGGAAATTGTCTTCATAACTTCAGCTTGAGACAGATGTTAAAGAGCAGAAAAAGAAAGAAAGCATGCAAATAGAACATGAATTGCAAGTGATGGCAGCAGATGGGTTCCATGGAGGAATGGAGAAGTGGTCAAAAAGATTGTTTTAGCCACTAGGACGGCAAAGGACCAAAATCCAGGATTATGGACTATATATACAATAAAAGACCAGGCTGTGTCCCTTCAAACTAGCAAGAAATGTGGAACCAAGCTGGGTTGAACCTGGACTAGATTAATGCTTTGGAACACATGGTAAAACCTGTCAGATATTTTGCTAGAAGTATTACCGTTTGATTGTATCCTGCTGTATCCTTTCCGTGGATAACTGAGGCACATAACAATACATTCAGGGCAGGTGGGAAGTATAAAATCAGAACCAAATCTTTCAAGCCTGGTCAACAGGTAACCAGACTTGGATATTACTCTGGAATACATTTCTGCAAATATCCAAGAAAGAAATAGAAATACAGAAACTGGGAATGTTTCCTTTTGTATGATGATGTGAATATTTTTCATGCATGGCAGGATCCAAAATATCCTCTCAGTAGACAGATTTAATTAATTATATTTGACACATCCAGACACGCTGGCAATGTAATGATTCAAGTAATAACAGTCCCCAAACAAGAGTTCTAAGAAAAAAGAAACTGGGTAAAATAAACTTTTGGGGGCAAGTGATGGCATGTATTTTGGGGGGCCCTTGTTAGTCACTAAATCTATTTCTAAAGTCCATCTTCCATTTGATGCCAGAAGACCCAGAAGATATGTTCTTTCCCAAGGATGCATTAGATACACTAAGAAACTTGATATATTTCCAACATAGAGCTCTCACCAAAAAGTCCAGGCCATAGTGATGCTGACCACTGAAACAATATTCTTTTTGGAAAATAGCCTATATTTTGCCATTTCAAACAATAGCTAATGAATAAATAAAAGATTTATTGGTAATATAGTAATGCAACATTCTAACAGAAATGATGTTTAAAAGTACTAAATGAGAATGGGTGGCAGCATCTGTTTTATCTTGATCCATCAGCAAAGAACTGCCTAACACTTTCTATGGAAAGAAGGAACAAAAAGCACAGATTTATCAATAAATAGCTTGCATAATGTGAGCAATCATCCTGTGCTTGGCTGACAGTAATAGTAAAACAATGCTTAAACCCTCTTTTTTTTCCCCTCCCTTTTCAGGATTTAGGTTTCTAGAGATTGCAGGAAATTGAACTGTTTGGCTATGCATTCAGTCTGAAGAACAATAACGATCCTAAATGCTAATTATGAAAGCCTTTTTGAAAGCAGATAATTATATAGCTGGCAGAACCCTCACAAATATTGGCAGGCTTGGGAGTTCTCAACATTTGTATTCTTCCCTAGTAAGGAAAAGATTGGCTAGAACGGAACATGTTGGGTAACAATAGAAATCTGACTGACTCCAGATTGACCGTAATGGGAGGAAAAATAAGAGTATTTTGGAATCGAGTAACAACAGCAGCAACATTATTTTTTTTAACAGGAGCCTCATATGCTGCATATTTTGTTACATGTTACCTGGTAAATGAGTATTTGTCTATGGCTTGGTTCTGGTTTAGTACTTTAATATATTCTTTGCAAAATGAGATTATTTTTTTAAAAAAGTTATAGTCATTTGATCAAAAATATAAATAATGATCCACAATATAAATTTGATCCCTGACAACTCTGGGGAAACGAATGCTTTTCGGGTTTTCTCAGCGTAACAAAGATATCCCTGAGTTCTATCAAGGATAGAACATTGACTTGGTAAATGAGTTTTCATACAGGAAAAAGAAAGACAATCGCACAAAAATTTTGGTAGGGTAAAGTCAGCTAATTACATGTTTAATACAGAGTACAAGAATCTTTCGTGTAATCTTTGCAGAAACATTGGCCTATATGCATTCTTCAAAACCCTTTAGGTCACACAGGTCTTGTGATTCCAAAGGAAACAAAGAACTGCATCAACACCCTACCTATTTGGGGTGGGAATGTGTATTAAAGTCAGGAGAACTTGGGCATTTTCTTGAGATTTGAAGCCATGTCAAGCTAAAATCAGTATCTGATGTTGCATGTGTCAATTAGAAGTTTAGTTATGAAAGTGGAACTATTCTTCTAATGTTTGTGGATTTTTACAAGAAGAAAGCCAGGCAATTTATACCAGTATTTCTCAACCATGGCAACTTTTAAGATGTATGGGCTTCAATTCTTCAGNATGTGCAGAAGGTGGTGCGCATGCGCAGATGAGGTACATTTGCAAACCGGTAGGGAAGGTAAGTGAATCTCACCTCTGGTCAACAGTAGTAATAAAATGTTGGTGAAGATCCAGTATTTCCAATGTCAGTGCCCTAAAAGGAAAAGAGAATTTTCTCAATTAGTAGAATTGATAGTGAAAAGTCTGGCAATGATTCAGCTCATCTTATTTGATTGGGCATCCCAACCAAATGTGCAGGTAATGATATTTAATATCTTAAATTGAAATTTTCTAAACAGAATCCTTTCTGGTTTTATAAAATCTTAATCATAAAACCGACTAAGCACTTGGTGCTTTGCTATAGTACTTGGCACTGAAATTTGATGTTGCTTAAATCTCTATCAAAAATCAGGAACCAGGATAGAGGTCAAAAGTATTACAACTTTATTTCATGTACCTATGTACAAGAATCTGAACTACTAACAGTCAAGATGAATTGGTATCAGATAAGAGTCAATCAAGTAAGGCTGGACTTAGGTCTCTCACAAAACAGAGAGACTCCAGACTGATGATGCATTTGACCTTAGCTCAGCCTGGTCATTTCCTACAGTGTCAGATTTAAAAAATATTATAATTTGTAACCAAAATGTTATAATTAGTTTTAAAAAATCAGTGAAGTCTTTTAAGCAGCAATTCCCACAATAATAAAAATAACAAATGGGTTGGAAGAGATTTTGGATTTTAAAATGATACCGTTTGGATTTCTTGATTAAAATTCAGATTTAGAAGATGCTGACAAAACGATTGTAGCACTGAATAATTTCTAGAAGTGTGTAAGATATTTCAGAGAGGTGTTTCAGAATTGGGACGCTTCCAGGTGGTTGAAAGAATTTCAGAAATAAAATTGGGATAGCTTTTTTAAGTTGGCATTGCACTAGTAATTACCTCTCCAGTCTCTTTACTTATGTCTTCATATAATATCTAAAAGGTGTGTTTTGATTTTAATTTTCACAGTGATAGTGATGAAGAAAAGAAATCCAGAAAGGGTAAATCACCAAAAGGTGAATTCAAAGATGAGGAGGAAACAGTGACCACAAAACATATCCACATTACACAAGCCACAGAGACCACCACAACCAGGCACAAACGCACAGCAAATCCTTCCAAAACCATTGACTTGGGAGCAGCTGCCCATTACACAGGAGACAAAGAAAGCCCAGACCAGAATGCCGGATCTTACACTCCACAGTCAACAGCCAAGGTAAGAAAGTAACCAAAAACACCACTGTGAGTTAGAATTCTCATTCCTCTTAATCCAAATTGCTTTTTGTTTAAAGTAATACAGCTAAAAAAGTTTTAGCTGTGCTGGAAGTCATTTATTGAGAACTATTTTTGTGTTGAATGATCAATGGTTATTGGAAGTCATGGACGTAACAACCACAACCTACCAGAAGTAGTGCTTGTGATTCATAAATATGAGGTAATTGTCATAGGCTTGACTTAGGTTAGTATCTCCAGATTCTCTTTTAAAGATTCTAAGCATCTTTTGGAGAACCTACAGGCTCCTCTACACACTACAAAACTTTCACTAAGGCTACAGGCGCCTAGACAGCCTATACATGCTTTCCCAAGAAGCCATCCCAGTTAGCAGTCACTCTCTGTATAAGACTGCTTCTTTGGTAGGCTGCCTATTCCCACCAATGGTCTATTGGGAGGAGAGTAAACCACATTGCTGAGTAGACTATTGGCTGCTGCATCACTTATTCCTGCTTCAGTGTCTATCCTGATTGAGCGCTTTTGATCTTAGCTGTCAGACCCAATGATTTGATATTAAGTGATGTTAACATCATATTTAAAACTGTTCAGTATTGTACTGTACTTCACTGCAGACTGGTATTCCAGGTGCATGGGGATATAAACTGTCTGATTCAAAGATAAAACTTTGCAAACACAAGAAAACAGGACTCAGATTTTGGACTCTACCATTTTTGTCTTAATCTTCTATAGTATTGCAAGTCAAATTTAGCTTTTAGCTTCAATAAATTTTTCATTTACTGAAAAGAATGAGACAAATCTATTGGCATTCTTTTCCAAGTATCTGCAATAAACGAACTTAACTGTTAAGGGCTTAGCATCAGAAGTTGCTGTTTTATAGAATCAATCAAGCAGGCAACTTGAAAGGCTATTGAAGGGATCATAGAACAAAGGGACAACCTCATCAGCCTTAGGGAAGTTCAAATACTAGAAATATTACCTATGCTAGTGAGTATATGGAAGCATAGTATGTTTTTGCATCAATAACATTTATCAGTACTTCTCTGGCATCATCCTTGACAGGTATGTGCTATAATAAAGGGGCATCCATGTCATAAAAGAATCTAGAAAATACTGAGGAAAGGTACAAGCACTTTTCTTCCCACTTTATCTACTTATAAGCTTACTTAACCTCAATCGAAATTAATGCAGTTGTAAAATCAGCCACTGGGATACAGTTTTCTCAAGCTAAGCTGAATAAGGTGTAATCAGGTGGCACAATGTTTAATTATGTCCTAAATTAAAAGACGGTTTGTTTATATCTCTTTCAGCCACCTGAAAGCAACTATAATTTAACAGACAACCGTTCGGCAGCATCCCTAAACAAATCATTTTCATCTGAATTGTCTGCTGTCAAATATATCTATTTGCTTTGTTGTAAAATTGTTTTCTGGCAAATTAACTTAATTTTAAAAATGATATCATACAGATAAAGACATTTTATTGGTTAGAATTTCCTCTCAGAGAGGAAAGAAGCTTGGACTCTGTTTCAAAAAAAAAGCTTGCAAATTGCCCTAGATATTCTAGTAGTGAGGTCCTATTTGATTGGTACTGTATTTTTCTCTTGCTTTTTTTTTCCTTACGGAAACAACCAAGGATACGAATAAATTAAAAGCATACAGTCTGCAGTCACTTCCTATAAAAAAAAACTCTGTTAAGAAATTATCTGTGGGAATTAAATCACCTCCACAGTATTTCAGATCATGTTCCACTTCATTTCCTGCTCCACAGCTAATATGGTCGTTGCTAAGAACAATGGGAATTGAAATCCATACATCTGAAAAGTGCCAAAGTTGGGAACTACTGGCCTATAGTTTTACAGTATATCTCATATGAAGGAGCCTCTAGAGGAGAACAAGAGGGTCAGTTTCTTGAAGGACCAATACAAGTAATCCTCAACATACAACAGTTCATTTAGTGACGGTTTGAAATTGCAACAGCATTGAAAAAAGTGACTTCTGACCATTTTTCACACTCAATGACTGTTGCAGCATCCCCATGGTTGTATGATCAAAATTCGGACGCTTTGCAACTGGTTTATATTTATGACAGTTGCAATGTCCTAGAATCGTGTGATCCCCTTTTGTGACCTTCTGGCAAGCAAAGTCAGTGGAGGAAGCCAAATTCACTTAACAACCCTGTTATGAACAATAGTGATTCACTTGACAACTGTGACAAGATGAGTCGTAAAATGGAGCAACTTTCACTTAACAACAGGCTTGTTTAGCAGTGAAAATGTTGGGCTCAGTTGTGGTCATAAGTAAAGGAATATCTATTGCCCAGTTAAATGAAACATTGGATACATAGTATATCACTGAAATTT